GAGAAACACTGATTTACAGTCATAGAATCATGAACTGAAAGAGACCTCAGAGGTTGGACTAGATCTGTGTTTCTCAACCTCAGCACCCTTAAGATGCTGGCTGGGGAATTCTGGGAGTTGAAGTCCACACCTCTTAAAGTTGCTGAGGTTGAGAAACACAGATCTAGTCCAACCTCTGAGGTCTCTTTCAGTTCATGATTCTATGACTGTAAATCAGTGTTTCTCAACCTTGGCAACTTTAAGAGGTGTGGACTTCAACTCCCAGAATTCCCCAGCCAGCCATGCTGGCTGGGGAATTCTAGGAGTTGAAGTCCACACCTCTTAAAGTTGCTGAGGTTGAGAAACACAGATCTAGTCCAACCTCTGAGGTCTCTTTCAGTTCATGATTCTATGACTGTAAATCAGTGTTTCTCAACCTTGGCAACTTTAAGAGGTGTGGACTTCAACTCCCAGAATTCCCCAGCCAGCCATGCTGGCTGGGGAATTCTAGGAGTTGAAGTCCACACCTCTTAAAGTTGCCAAGGTTGAGAAACACTGCTCTAAATCCTTACAGAAGAGAGCAATACCAGGAAAATACCTCCTTTTGTCCAAGTTATAACTGGGAGAGGATGTCCATCTGCGGAGCAGGACAGATCCACACTTTGACCCTCCATCACAGTCTGATCACTGGGGACTGCTAAAAACCTGGGAGTATCTGCAGGAGGAAAAGAAGCAGAATGGAAGAGATATTTCCTACAAGACTGGTGGAAACCTGCAACCCCCTTTCCATCAAGCATCAAAGGTAAAGATTAAAACCACAGAGAAAGGTTGAGAAGGATAGGAAGACCTGATTGACTAGGCTCAAAAACCTGGCAGGAGGGGTCTCCTTGCTGAGGGGGGTGTCAGAGACAGTCAAAATGGGGGGTGCCCCCACACAATCAAAGCCCCATCCCTTTTAGACATGTTGGGCAGGGTTTTGATCCTGTAATCATGGCCCCCATCTTGATTTTTTTGACCTCCCTGGGGTCACCCCTGTTCTCTACTGCAATCTTCCCGATTGTATTGATCTTTATTGTGAAAAGAAACAAAATATGTTGCCGACCGAATCTTTAAACTTCTGATTTGGTCACCGATGGGCAGGCTTGGAACAAATGGGCTGCTGTTCTATGTCACCTGTCAACTTTTGAATCCGTTCTTCCTTTGACGAAGAGCCAAGGAAGAAGGTTTTTGAACCATTTGTGGGGAGGGTGTATTTTATACACAGACTAAATTTCCAGGTTCCTCCTCCCCTTCCTTTTTTTCTTTTTTGTGAATTCTGATGCTGTACCATTTTGTTAACCGATTATGCCTATAATGTTTCTTTTTAAATTTGATGCAGTAGGTGAAACCATTATAAAAAGGAGAAGGAAATGAGGAGAATCTATAAATCAGTGTTGTCCAAACTTGGCCACTTTAAGATGAGTGGACTTCAACTCCCAGAA